ATTTTTTCATTAATTTTTCAGCAAACCGCTTATTGTTTCTAGATTTAGCTCGCACTTGAATGCTCTCTAACTTACCTCGATGTAGCTGCTGACTGCCGATATTGTATCTCAATGTATTTAGGTGTGAAAATCCAGTAAGGCGTGTAACCGAAGAGATAGAATACAGAGGAGAAATTATTGCACATTAACGTCTTATTGGTGGTGAGCCGTTTAAAAGTAGTTAACATATCCTTGAAAGAAGCTTTGGTTTCCTCCTTTGGCTTCTCCTCCATCTCAGCAGTTAGTCTATCCTTCTCCGTTGGTTCTTTGTTAAGATTATCTTGTCTCTCCTTTAACGTTGCACGTTTACGACGCTCATCTTCGACCATGCGTCTAGCCGCAGCACGTGGTAGTTCTTTAGGGAACATTGTAAGAAAGGCACCAGAGCAGAATATCATACCACCAATCACTAGCCACCCCATCCACCAGGCGCCCAACCAGCGTGGATCTTGATTATTGATGACAGGATGTAAATTTGGTGCGATATAGACGCGCAGACAGAAAGAGGCGAGCGCATAACCGAACGCGGGACCAAGCATACGCAGAAAGTATGATAAACCTGAAAGATTGGGTCAGAGTAAGTACGTATGTATGTGTGCTATGATGATAAACAAGTTTTCTACTGCTACCATGTTGGAGAATATTAAACCACCTCTTGATTTACGGTTGAAAAGCAAATACTCCATTTGGCACCTTTGTTTCAAATTTAGCAGGGTAAATAAAAGGGTCATAAAGATCATTATAAAAGATTTTAAAGATAAGTTTGTTTAGTTATTGCACACGCAAAGTAATTTAATCTAAGATAAATTTTAATTGCCAAACAAGCTTTATTACCGTTTTTTAGTTACTCAACACGCCTACAAGGGGCAAATTATATGACAATGAGATTTTTTAAGATTCAAATAAAACATCTTTTTGAAAACAGTAATATACGTATGTATATACGATCCTCAAGGCTCCTATCTAATGTCTTACATTTGTCATACATATGAGCGATTCCAAGTAAAGTGATCAGTGGAATTTTTTTTTATACGATCACGCTTAAACTTGGGCCCTTAATAGGATTCATAAAAGGTAATTTTGAGCAAACATTTTTTGGGATTTAGTCAAATATTTTACGAATGAGTGGTGGAGAAAGTTTCGCATTACACTGCATATTTTAATAGTTTTTTTCTATTACGATTGGTGATATGAATTTTGGGAAAAAAATAAAAAATTGTGACATTCATATACATATGTACATACATTGCCGGTGAAAAGTATTGGCACAGCTGCTTTTTTAAAATATATGCAATCATTTTTACTGTAATATTTTTCCGGCATTATAAAAAAATATGGTTCATTCTACAACAAAAAATATAAAAATATAATTTCTAAAATTTTCATGCAAATTTTTAACTCTTTCTAACTTTTTAACTAACTTTCATAAAATTTTCCAGAATTTTTTTGAGTATGCAGATATGTAGCCCGATCAATTTTATTGCAAAAAAGAAAAAGTTATAAGTAGCTACGAATTAACGTTGATTTTTGGCAATTTTTTTCACGCAGTCTCTTCCATACAAAAAAAATTTCGAAAATACTTTATATGGAAAAAATGCAAAACACCTTCAACAAAAAAATTCTCAAAACTCAATGCAATTTTTGACTAACTCCGAACTTGCATTTTCTGTACTAGAATTTAAAGGGCTACAAAACTGCATATTTTGTGTTTTTTTTT